TTTTAAATGTTTCTAAAATCAGCGCCAACAGTGCGAATGTTTTTACGACTTTTGTTCAAATGATTTTACTGCAACCAGTAGAACATTTCAAAGGCCGTTCCTTATAAGCAACTTATATTTATTAATTAGTACCCATTAATTATTAATAACGTATTTTCCAAAGTTTTAAAAACTGTTTACTCAAGACACATTACAAATAATATTTTACACGAAAACAATTAGTACTTAATAAAAAAAAACGTCGCTTTATCCTATTTTCGGCTCCAGACACTTCGATATCGACAATTTAAAAATGATTAACACATTTTTCAAATAGCTATTTAACAATGGCAAAAGTAAATGATTAAGCAATTAACGATTATATAGTACCTTTAATGTGTTGTTTATATATGTTATTTAATACTGGATACATAAAAAAAATGTTAATTAAAATAAAGTGGCGTCCAATATTATAAATATTGTGCTCTAATGAACAAATCAATTATTGGGAAAACATCAGTGAAAACTATCCACATTATTGAAAATATTAAAATTATGATTTTATGAAAAAAGATACAGACAAACCTCCATCGCATTCCTATAATACCTAATCATTTTATACAAAGGTACAGACGACAGTTATAGCTGAAGCTGTCAAGGTCATATTATAAGCAGTGAATAGAAGAGTTTTTCGAGATGATCACTTGGATCTTAATACATTAGACTAGAAGTTATGCATTTTCAGAAGTTGCCAACCATGATTGCCGTAAAAAACGCACAAACTCCTGAAATTATACATTCTCTTTGCAATTATTTGGACACCCTGTATAATATAATTTTATAATATGATTGTTAATGCTCTGTATCACAGTAGACATATCGCACATTCAATCAAATATAACTTAAAAAAACTTGGGTTTTAAGTTAAATATATACAAATGCTCAAAATTAAATGTTGCATCATCCCAGTCATTTCTGTAACTTCACATATTCGCCACTAGATGGCAGATGTCACGGTTTAGTACTAAGACCAGTTTTCTCTTCGGTATTCTCAATTAGTGTGACATTTAGTAATTTACTTTTTTCAAGTTATAACTCTATTTTATCGGAGGTGCGATATGTAATGAACTAAATATAATGCAAACATCTCTTTTAAAGTCAAATACATTCATTAATTTGTATTGCAGGTTAACGCAGTTTATGTCTCTCACCTATCTTCGTCCAGAAATGTCACTAAAGTCTGGGAGACCATGTATGGCATTTATTTTATAGTTTTAGTTTACAAAATATGTTTTTATCGTAATAAAAAAATAATTTCACAATTACACTCTTTTATTTTACATTTTTGCAAGACGGAAAAGTAAAATACGGCCCTGCTCAATTTTAGCGACAACCTGCTTCTGTTTAGATCAGGCGTAAATTAAATTTGAATAGACTTTAGTAATTCCATGCTAAAGCCTGATATATAATATAAAATTATACAAACATTGTTTTAAAAAATATACAACTAGTAAAATATTTGGACAAGAAGTAGCGAGCGAGAATCCTTGATACCATTCAGATTTAAACAGAATTAAAATTATTTAGCCAGCTTTAAAATCCTTTGGAACCAGAAGTAACTTGCGGCACATTAGAGTCTAATATCAATAACTTATAAATCGTGGGCTTACAAGCAAAAGGCATTAAGTCAAAAAATAGGTTTATAAACAATTTAAAGTTTCAATGAAGTTATAATTTTTTTACAAATTATTTAGGGATTTTCAATTGCTTCAAAGAAAATGTACATGCTTTCGGAATACAATGCACTGTTTATACATAATATACAAAAATATAAACCCATTTTGATAAATTTTTGACTTAGTGCCTTTTGCTTGTAAATATTAGTTAAGCCACTGGTATTATGCAGTTGCTAGTTTGCTTCACGCATAAGAAAACTGAAAACAAGAGACTATAGGAGCAAGTAGTTCAAATTACAACAAATAATTAATATGGTCCTTAAAAAACAAGCCTATATCTTCTTAAGGCATCAATTAGGAAAATCGAGAGAACATTAAAAATAACCGATATAGAATTAATTACCGTTCTACCTATCAGCGGCGCGCGGCGTTTCCCATAACAATAGACCACCTTCGCTGCTTCTCTAGGAAATATCAATCGTTCCCCGTAATAAAAACTGAAAACATTTCCGAGTAAAAAGCTCCCGAGTTTAGAGTTGATTGGCTGGTTGGGATCGGATGTAACCGGTATTTTTATCAATCGTATTCGTAGTAGCTTAAAATGCACAAACAATATGATCAAAATGTTTTTCGCGCGAATTGAAATGATACACGATGCACCTAAGCGATATTCCAGTAAATAAATTTGCGTGCGTGCAATGCTGACTAGATTTAAAATACTGACACAAAATTTTACACATTACTGAGGCCCTTTCCATGGGGCCTCAGTATTGCATTCGTGCAGACGAAAAAATTTTCTTACCCCCATTTTTTTAAACTTTTTTTCACGTTTCCGAAAATGCAAAAAAAAATTTTTCGTCTGGTCGTCTGTATGTATGCCGGCACGATAACTTGAGAACGAAAGTTCTGATTGACTTGCGGTTATGATTTTCTTAAATAATTGCTTCTAACTTAGTACCCTATCGTTTTTCAGAATTTTTGGTTCATCCTAACTACTTTAATATCAATGTTCTTAAATCCGCCTGTGTAATCCTTATGCGACTAATTTATACATTCCGAGCATTCCACGTCTAAATTCCTAAGATTCCTAAAATTCCATACATTGCAAAATTATGCACTCCAGCGACCTGTCAAATAGCTGTTGATTGTAAAGGTGAGATTTCTAAGGGGGGTTGCAACTTTCATAGTTGCAATCATAGGCTATTTTTATTCGAAATAGCAGTCGTCAAGCCTGCCAATTTATGAAAAATATACAGTTTCTTAAAAATGATTTTTTATGGTGTTGCTAACTAAAGTTTACTACTATTTCGCTCCTAGCCACAGTGACACTGGCTCTCTGTCGCAACCCCATAGAATAATTAACCGGTTATTTTATTTCGCATGGCTGTGCCTGTCAATGTCAAGTATCAAGTTGTCAACTGAACTGTAATGTGTGAATTGTTCTTAAATGTCAAATTATTTAAAAACATTTGTATCCTTCTTTTGATATTTATTTTAACAATTTTTAACATATGTAATTTAAAAATAATTACACAAGTCAATAATATAATTTTTTCTTGTTAATTGAATCGGTACGCATTTCATTGTTTTAAGGTTAAGCGAGTGACGGTTTTATTGTGATTTTCATATTTTATGAACCTTTTGACATGTCTGCTAACTGAATTTGAAAACTTGATTTTCCAAAATGATACATTCGAAGTAACCTCAAAAATATGGATGATACAAACAAACAAACAAACAAACAAACAAACAAACAAACAAGCAAACAAACAAACAAACAAACAAACAAAGAAACAAACAAACAAACAAACAAACAAACAAACAAACAAACAAACAAACAAACAAACAAACAAACAAACAAACAAACAAACAAACAAACAAACAAACAAACAAACAAACAAACAAAGTATTCAGTGGATTTTAGGACTTCTAAACCAACAATATTAAAAGATCCATTTATTAAGGCAAATAATAAGATAGAACTTTAAATATACTTAATGTTTAATATTAAAATCAAATTTTACATACTCGTCTTGTTTTTGGTACAAGTAATTAATTATTTCTCAGTTTGAAATTTTGTAATTTGGTATTATTTCAGAAAGGATTGCAATCTATAATTACAATACATACTAAACATAATCATACTCAAAAATTCAACGTCCTAATACTACTATCGGTTTTCGGTCTTTCATTCCAAGTTAAATCATTTCTCGTTTTTTTTTTACGCTTGTGGGCTTCAGTCCCGATAAGGTGGGAACCACCATTTTAGCGTCTCTCGAAGTATATATTAAAATGAATGAGTTTGGATTATTGGATTTACTAAACAAATACGGCTATTGTACTATACGGAAACGTTTAGATTGGACATGGAGAGTAAAATGGCGACATTGTACATAGCAAAGCGTAGGAACACCATGGTCGTAATGAATGCAATCTCCTTTAAACATTATTTTTATTATACGAAATTAAATTTACGTTCAACAAAAAGAAAGATCAGCAAGAAAACTACAATCTGCAAGCAATTCTGGAATTGGCTGGACCAATATATGGAGAATTAAGCCAAGCGATCTGAAATCTAAGTTTAACCATGTTAACTTTTTTATTAAAAAATAACAGAACCTCTCTTTCTAAATATCAACGAATGTATATTTCAAAAGCTGAAAAAAAAAACTTTGCACGATCTTATAAATAGGTGTAGATTTTAACATTTTAAATTTGAATGAATAAAACTGATAGTATCCAGATTTTTAAGAAAGGAGTTAGAATTGCACCACCCTTGATGGTACGAGAAAATAATTTAAATATAAACAACACTACGGCTCCTCGGAAGAAACTCAAAAGTCAGTACATAATAAAATAATAATCTACAACCAGGTCCAACCAATTATCGGGATGTACCAATGAGACACCAACAATAAATCTAAAACATTTCAGAACAAAGTATTGCGCAACGTAGTAAAAGCTTCTTAGTATATGCTCAACCTAGATCTTCATCGATAACTTGGAATTTCATGAAGCTAGACTTCATCTACATATCAAATCAGAACCTGTTCAACGATTAAGATGCATAATAGAAAAATATATTCATATTGAAGTAAAAAAAAAAAAATGACGAAAGTATGGTAATTTTATAGAATCAGGAATAAAGGGGTAAAACCAAACAAACAAAAAAAAAATTGAAAAACGCGCTCCACGTGCGAAACAAGCCATAGGACCTTTGGTATACCGTATCAATATCCCAACCACTAGAGAAGTAGTAATTAATTTGAGATTTGGAACTTTTCCAAATCGTTCTTCAGCTATTATCGTTTGAAGATAAAATCCAAATGATATATTTTGACTTACCTAATATGAGGTGCAATTTGGCATCCGTCTGGAAGGCATAATGTAAGGTAACTAGGAAGGGATTGTCTCGGACGGCCTCTAAGACTTGTCTCTCGGTTTTCGTGTGCTCAGTCGTTTTTTTCTTTTGGACTATCGTTGCCTTTTTCAGTACTTTCATGGCGTACAGACGGCCGTCGTCTGAACCACCACGTTTTCTCACTAGGAACACTTTACCATAAGCTGAAAAACAAAAAAAAAACAATTTATAATATAAAATTAAAAATTCTTCTCTTAGTGTTATAGTATCTCCGTAGATATGTCCAATTCGTAAAACTGCAGATTTACTAGTAACAGAGGAATAAATATTTTAATTGCTAGGTTTCTAGTTCGCCTATGATCCATATAAAATATAAAGGTCAAAAAATTAAATTATGGATCTATATTCAAATTTAAAATTAATTTAATTTCGATTTAAAAAGATACAGGAGAGGTTTCATGAAAAGTGGGACACAATATTTATATGAGTGATAGTAATAATAAAGACATGTCTAAAATACAGTATATTATGCAACAATCATATAATATATAGTATCTGTTAATACACGAGCCAAAAGTAAGATTTAAAACGAACCGTAGGCGAGTTTCGCATATTTTTTCTACATCTATTTATTAACTCAAAACTGATAATTCTTTTCAAATTCATTAACTGTTTATAATGAAGCAAACCGAACACCTCAAAAATTTATAATTCATTCTGAGCCTTGATTTTTAGTTCGATGTTTGTGAAATTTTCAGGAAATACCAATAATAACAAAACTTAGGGTGGAGAATCCTTGAATTTTTTGTAAACCTTCCAAAAGTATTTAATTTGAAAAGTCTATAAAAATTTGACGCATTTTGTTTTAATAAATATCTAGTAGTTTTTAAATGGGATACTTTCCCACCTTTTTTTTTTCTTAAACGTCTCTGTAGAGTGCTGTCTCATCGTTGCACAAATTTCAAGTTCTCAATATTGTCAAAACACATAATATCATGAAGTATTTTCAGTGGCACGCATATAAATACAATTTATATTAGAAAATCCTTAAATCATTTTTGCCTTCACGAGAGGTCCGGTTTGCTCTTAGTGCGTTTAGTCAGCCTGTTTTAGGTTTAAGCATTGACATAGACATTAACATAAAAGTTAAATTCAATACATTTCAATGTACTGGTTTATACAGAAGATAAGCATACACATTAACATACACATAGTGAAGATAAAAAAGTGAGGTTAAGCTATTGTCATAATTTTAAATTTTCGAACTTTTAAACTCTTTTTCTACATCTTTTTATCATTAATAATAATTGTGAGATAGCAGAGCAATTTCAGAAGCATTTACCACGTCTTTTTCCCAGTTTTAATGATTTGTCAAATATTATGCTTATGATTAAATTTTCTGAAACCTATTTTTTTTAAATCCTTAAATGTATGTCTATGTTAATGCTTAAAACAAAATTAGGTTGATTAAATCCACCTATAAACATATTTATATGTTTTGCTTTTTCTAAGAAGTGGAAAATTAATTATCAATATTGCTGCTAGAAATTTTCTATTATTAGGTATTAATAATTGAGACAAGAAATTAAACCTTTGTTTCGGAGCTCTACTATCAAACAATTATTTTAGGGTAAAGAATATCGTGCCTACTATATTATTGTAATTTATTAATTTATATTGGTCGTGTCCGTTTAGTAATAAAAACCTGTAATTATCATCATTAATAAACTAACATTTAATTGACAAATTATGATACAGGAGTAGAAAAAATATATTTTTATGAAGTAAGACTTGTTTGAATTTCTTTTTAATACTGTAATGTTTATTTATTTTAAACAGTTTATTATTTATTTACACTAAATACACTAAATTATTTATATTCAAATAATACACTAATTTATATAATCACATTTACTTATTCATTTATTTATATTAATTATGTTGATCGGCTCACAGAAACGTCTCAACATGAACTAACTAACTGCATCAGCAAAACAGCGAAAAATTTGGCGAACCCAAATGTTCTCGCATTCACCAAAACTTTTTACGAAAACCCTAGATTCACATCCACCATAACAAACGTCGGCGGACTCACCATTTTGTAGACTGTGGTGCTTCCGGTAAATTCTAGAATTTTATTAGTATGCTGCGATTTCTTCTACTGATGGACTTGGCCATGGGAATATCTTTAGGTGTTTCGGAGATTGATTATTGCTTTGAATATTCTTGGTAATCAGACAAGTAAGGCCTTAATAGATCCAAATAAGGTAGATAGGGATTTAAGGGATTAGAGCATGACTGGACTGGTCGAAAATAGCTCGCATGCCATTACCTTGCTATGCAATGTTTTTTCTATATTGCTCTTATTTTTAAAGTCAAATAATTATTTAATAGATTTTAAACGTCTTTTAAAAATTTCATTTCATTGGTTAGTTATTTTGTCTAACAGAGAGAGTATTTAGTTGAAATAAACGTGGATCTTGCGCGACTAACATACAGGATGGCGAAGTAATCGATTTTTGCAAGAGTTTGAACGAACAAAATGGAACTTGTATCTGAATTTGATATTAGGATCAAATATTATTTTTACATGGTAAAATAATGAACCAAATATTTTTACAAGGTTAAGCGTAAGTGGTAAGTGGGCGAACTATTTTGATACGGATAGGCTTAAGGGATAAAGGGACCAACTATTATTACATGGACAGGTTTAAGGAGTAAGGCCAACTATTTTTACATGTGCAGGCTTAAAAGTAAAAGTTTTTTTATTTTTTACATGGACTTACTTAAGGGTAAAGGGACGAATTATTTTTTCATTGGCAGGATTAAGGAGTAAAGTGACCAAATATTTTAACATGGACAAACTTAAGGAGTAAAGGACTCAAATATTTTTCCATAAATAATTTAAAGTTCAAAATAAAATCCTTTTTAGATTATTTTATGTTACAATTCAAATTATTGCTCAAATCGGTTAATGTTTCGGGAGCAAATGTTTGTTTGTTGTCAAAAAACCCTGAACGTCTTTTATTTACATTTTTTTTTTATTTTTAAAATACTGATTTAAATTTTTTATTTAATAATTATGATTTTATTGTTAATTTCTTTTATTCTTAACATTTTCTTCTATATATTTATTATTGAATTAGTTTAATTCAAACATATTGCAGTAATTACTATTAATAGCTCATACAAATTAATATATTTGGTCTAATGTTATTCTTTCTATATGACACAAAATTTTATGAATTTGTTCACAAATGCAAAACCATTTTTAATAAGAAGAAATTAATACATGTAAAGCGAGCTTAAATCGTTTCGATATTATTGTAGTGCAAGCCATTTTCGATCAGGCCGGTCTTACTCTGTTTTCGTTATCACTGGTCGAGTGAACCGTTCAGCCGCCTATATGAAATTTCTATAAATTACCAGACGCGATGCCGATACTTGGTCTAATCAAATAGAGAATGTCTAGAGTCTTCGAGACAGGTCTGGAACGCCGCAATTTTTATATAAAAAAAATAAATTTATCGTAATAAGTTCAGTATATAGCTAAAGATCGGTTTGATTAGATAAATATTCTTAATATAAGAGTATAACTGTTTGAGATGTAAATAGTGTTGTATAAATAAACTGAGTTAGTAAATAAATTAGTGATTTTAGTGAATACAGATTAATGTAAATTGTTTAAATAAATAAACGTTACATTATCTTTAAAAAAACTAATTTTCATTTAAGAAGTTGAATCTCTTTTAACAAGCGTTTTTCGCCTCTAGAAATATCTAGAAAACAACTTGTTTAATGACATTGGCGAACAATTTCTATCAATTTGCATTTGAATAAGTGCAGTGGACGGCTCTATTTGTTATTTCCTATTTCCTACTTCATTAGTCTTACGTTCCATGTTAATAATTAGAACTCAACGATGAATAATCGAATAGGTAATCCAACCTAGACATAAAATGAAATTTCTAATTAATAATCAGAAGAATCATTAAACTGTGTGTATGCCAAATCGTTAGTTAAATCATCGATACGGACGTGTCGAGATGATCAACCGTATTCGTCGCTAGTCGCCAGCAACAGCAACACTTGGCAAATCTGACGTCTGGCGGCACTACATTCACTTCCTCATCTTCTTTTCTAAGCCCCGTTTTCTCGTTCTCTCTAGTCTGGACTAGAAAGAAACTCGATTTATAAGGACGAGATTCGGAAAAAGTTTTCTAAGTGCCAGACGAACGACTGTTTATGTGTCTCTTTCCTGTTGATTTAACGGACAGTCTGCTTTGCTCAGACCATGTTATCCTACGAAATATGTTAATTCCTTAAGTGTTTTCGAGCTTGTTTATATGTTTCTTGTTAACGTTCATTTCCCATTTTCGGTGTCTCGCGGAAAACGGTTCTTTTAGTTTTTCATTTTATTCGGTAGAAAAAAGGATTCTTCTCTGACAATGTTAATGAACAATCTTGTACCAGACCACATTAAATGTTTGTATTTATAGTAGAAAAAAGTATAATTAAAATGTACCAATGTTGTAGCCGGGTAACTTTTTAATTCATTTGAATATACAGGGTGTACCAATAAAAACTCCCAGGCCGGATATTTTGAAAAGTAATATTAATAATATGCCATGCGCACGCATATTAAATGATTTATGATATTCTATGGAATGTCATCCCAGGAAGCTTCTTGAATTTGGTGACAAAGGTCAACTAAGTTATTTGTATCCAACACATATTCGACTGGTGATAAGTATGGAGAGCGAGAAGGCCATGGAAGGAAGATCACATTATTTTGTTGTAAGAACCTTGTAGTAACCCTTGATGTATGAGGATGGGTTGAAATAGGAGTTAAAGTAACCCTCGTTGGTATGGCAGTGCAACAGGTTGCAGTACATTCCGTATGTAATCATTTGCATTCAAATCTCTGTCAATAAAAACTAGAAGTGACTTTCATGACGTTCTCAAACAAATTCTTCACGTAATCGACTTACTCGTCTGCGACCATCATAGACCCAAAGACAGATGCGGGATTCGTCAGAGAACACAACACGTTCCCATTCACCACCTCAATTTGATTTGCCGTTTACTCCACTCAAGCCGAGCAGCACGATGTCGAAGATGACCTATTCCAGTGGTCGGCAAACTCATTAGTCAACAGAGCCAAATAGCAAGAGTAAAACGACTGAAATTTTGTTTAAGAGCC